CTCCTGGAGGGTTTTCTGGGAAGTGGTTGGTCTCTATTAAGAGTGACACCAGATTTTGGACTCTTTTTTTAAGGGGATCAGGTTTGACTTGATTTGTAGTCGCACGGATTGCAGGACGTCCCTATCAGAGACGGTTAAAGTCCAGTCGCTTGTCATCACTCTCTGGCCTAAAACAGAAGCTGTTGCGTGTGATTCCTTTGGTGTTTTCGTTCGAGGAGTCCTGATATATCTAAATTTGCAAACCATAAAGAAAACACAAACCTTCAGATTCAGCTGTAAGGGACTCTTGGTTGCGTATTTCACCCTACAGAACACAAACACTGAGTCTTTCATGCCTGTGTTGTGCAGCCAAAGTGGCAAAAGTGAAACTTTTCATGTTTTAATGTGAAAACCATACGGCCCTGTAAACCAATCGTCAGTAAGAAACGCCTTCGCTGCGGCTTGCTATGTCATTAATTTCCACACTGACTGTATAAGCGAAGGCAAACCTATAATTTAGCCGTGAGTGATTCCTGAGTCAATGCAGAGCGCATTAACGGCTGAAGTATCGAGTCCTCGCCGAGAGTTAGAGCCTGCCTGGAAGTATTTACCCTGCCCCCTTCATTTATCACACCGGGCTTCTTTACGCCTAATTTGTCCATCTTGACTTCTCCTCCTGCTGTTTCTGCTTTTTTAACCCGTCTCCAGTGAATGTAAGACGTATTCCTCTTTCGCATCCACACTCCAGTGACGGTTTCTTGGACTCACAAGTTGTGCCTCTCTTAGGAAGTCATGAATCAGGTTTAATCTGTTTACTGGTAAAGTATTGAGTATCTTACTTAAGGTGCACGATGAGGTTTCCTCGAAACAATTGACTCTATTCTGTCTTTACTGAGCGTGCTCAGAACAGACTTTAAATCCAGATCTGTTTCGTCTTTTTCAGGCACATTTGGAACTTTTATTTGAGCATCACTTCTTCTCCTCCTGCAAAAACTTTTCAGAACATGATTTTGCGACTTCATGTTCTGCTTACCCCCAATTTCCAGTGCATCTCTAACGGCGGCAAAAAAGTTGTATCCGCCGATCGTAGCTGATCGTAACCATTCAAGTCAATGTGTCAATATCCACCAGCTTCTTTCTGTTTCGCTGCCTCGCTGGACTCCGCAGCTGATCGCAATAGTTCTTTTTTTTCTGGACACCGGAGCATGGCGGATAAATTCAGCACAGATTAACCCGTGCTGGAAAGGAAGTCGGGCACAGACACAAAATAACAACATAACAAGTCAAAAGTTTTTAGACATCATTTCACCCCGATGACACCATGGATGAGGAGATGCTGATTCTAGAAGTCTAGAAGTAGATTTCCTCCTCTGGAAGGACACAGCGCCATTCCGGATCCAGTTGAAATCCTGGGTTAGGTGTTGCAGAGACATCATAGAGCCGGACAGGCCTACTGTCCTGTTGTTCAAAGTTCACAAAAATATTAAAAATGGGACTGACTAGTTGGTCTAAGTTGACCGCTTCACCTCAGATCATCTCAAAAACGAGAGTAGACCAACACTCAAATTTGACAAATACTTTCTTCTGGCTCTTCTGGAGCACTCGCCATTTTTGCATTGTTGTTTCATTTCACCTCTGCATCCTTCATTCAGCCAGTCAGCACAGTGCATTCTCCAGAGGGCTTTGACCCAAATCTGGACAGAAGAGGAAGAAGGGACCTGCTGGTTTCTTGCTATCGTGTCTGTCGATTGTTTTGATGGATGTTATAGAGCATCAACCGAGACACGGCCCTGTGGTAATGAGCCTTTGTAGTAGAGGAGGATGTATTTGTTTCAATGAATTGCTCATGTTTTGTTTTGTATTGTAATTTTTGCTTGGGAACGGACCCGGGTACTAATTTCGTACCACAAACTGTAAAGGTGCGGGGTATGATAATAAAGCTCCTAGACCCTTGAACAACAGCTTTCCTATGTTTAAGCGTCACAGCGGTAAAAAAAAAAAAAGGACTTTGTGTGTTTTTATAAGTTTCTACTGAGATTTAAAAGGATCTGACCATGAGGAGGGCCTCGCACCACATGCACAGCGGTCATGGTCCCCGAGGGGCGGCAATCAAATCCTCCACCACCTATCCTCTGATAAATACAATAAAAGCCTCAAAACATCATCTAAAGACCTGGACCAAAGAACAAAGGAACAATAACTTTTAAATAACATGAATTCATATTATGTTTGCTCCACATTTACAGCTCGTAGGCTGAGCTGTGGAAAGTTTGTTGGGTAAAGGGAGAGTTTGTCAAAATCTGGTGTCAGGAGAGGGTCAAAAATGTTCCAAATACTCTGAGGGATATCATATGAGACCCTGAAACCCTGGACATGAGATCTGAATATAACCCCCATCCTTCCAAGAAGTCCCGGCTAATCCTGCCCCTGCAGCCCCGTGTCAGCTGTCCGCACCCCCTTCCAGCTGTCTCCCTAATGATATACCTAATGAGACATCTGGGGGGTCCCTCTCTCACACCGACACTGTACGAGGGGAGACAAGAAGGGAGGGAGGGGGGGACACGTCCACTTTCCCACATGTCCCAGTTTAGCCCTCTGTGACTAACTCCTCGTTGTTCTTTCATGAAATTTCATCAACTGCTGCCGGAGGTTTCTGACCTGCAGAGGCGGGATAAAGCCGAGCGTGACGTGGAGCCCGAGCATCGGAGTTATCCGTGAAATCGGCCAAATATGAGATTCATAAACGCTCGGGCACTTGAAAGGATAAGCCCGGGTCGATCAATCACATCTCTGCCACTCTGCCACGGCACATAAGTTCATTCTTCTGAGACACACATGAAGTGTCAGACAAAATTAAGACAATTCACCCCAAAATAAACTTTCATACGTCTACAAATCTGGGGTTCGGCTTTCATCCGAGTGTGAGATGGTCTCTGGGGGTGACGGCGAATATTTGAGGGCTTCCGTAGTCGCCAGCAGATGTCAAGATAAATGAAATCAGATATCCAGAGCGAGACTTCCTCTTCCCTCAGCTGGTCAGAGTTGACAGCTCATGCAGCAACTAAAGAAGCGAGGAATGGAGCTAAAGAGACGTCACGTTACCTGCTCTGGAATAATTAATAAAAAGGTGAACGGTTGTCTGACGTAATTCTGGCAAATAATCCAGGAAACAAACTCTTGTGATCGTAACGGCGTTTGTAACGGAGGCCAAATCCACACAATGTTTTAAATCAGCCCGACTGGACCGGCTCTCACCTCCTCCTCTCTTTGGAAACGCTCCGCTCAGCAGGTTTAGCTCATTTCCAATCAGGTTGGTCGGCGCCGTCTGCCAGTCGGAGAACAGATGTTTTCACCTTCACTCATCAGCCGAAAGAAATCTGCTGCTTTACATTCATGTCGCACAGTCTGCAGGTAGTTCGCGCTCTTCCTCTTCTGCTTAGTAAGCAACAATTTGTTGATGGCTGGAGGGAGATTTATACCGACACTTTGACTGCCGTCGTCTGTTTCCGTCGTATGTCGGCGAACATTATAAAAGGTTCAATTTTCATCTGCGGGGAAGTTTTAACCTTCAGGTCCTGAGGAGTTTTCCCATGAAAACGACCCGCTCCGCGTTAACGGGGGAGGCTGTCTCCGAGGCTATCAGCTAATTTATGACTCAGAAATCTGCTCCGAGAGAGACGGCCAACTTCTCAGGGTTTCCACTGCGGCGAGCAGTCGGTGATAAAAGACTTCTGGACCAGACTTTTTTTTTTGGCGTGTTGCTGATAAAAGTTCAAATTTAAAGCTGAAGTGAAAGTGGAGTCATCAGTCGACGAAGGAGAAGATTAACTGTACTTATGAGTGTTGTTGAAGGGCTGATCTCTGATAACACAAATCATAATTATTACTGTTTTGATTGATACTCTTTACAAAATTAAACATGTTCACCGCCTGGTTTTAAAAGGTTGAGGTCTGTCTGTAAATACTTGGAGAGGGGAGGTATTTTTAGGGGACTGGACTGACAGCTAAGTCTGGTTTAATGAAAATCATGTTTTTCTTGTCGTCTACATGTTCATATGTTCTTTTTTCTGATGCTACAGGACATATCATGAGAAAATTAAGTGTGTAATTGCATTTGTGAATACTTCTGACCCAAACGGCCAGTTCAGACACAGTGGGATTTCTTACATCACAAATCTAAGCTCCGCCCCCTTAGCCCCTCTATGTAGGCCAGACTCAGAGAAGTAGAGAGAACAATCGTTGAACAAGCGACTGTTTCCCTAAAGACATTAGTGTCTGAGAGCTGAATAGCTTGTATGTTACCTGCCACTTCTACTACACCAGCAATGTTAGGCTGTAAGCTAGCGTGAAGAAGAGTGTGCAGAGCAGCGCTGTCTCCGCCCACGACTCAGAGGTGAATTGCTAATGAGCTATCGGAGCTCTGCAGAAGAAAAACTCTTGATTTTAGCTAAAAACGTTATAATCACGATATAAAGATCACTGAGAACACTTTAAGAAACAATCAGAGTGGGACTTGAAAAAAGTCAGTAGTTTATATTTGTCATTGCTAAGGGCTTTTCCTTCTTGCTCTCTTGGTCCCTCTGCTTTACTAACACACACACACACACGTTTCTTTACCCTAGCAATGCTCCACAGCTCACCTCATTCCACCTGCACATGTTAAAGACGCAGGAGTGCACATTTGACATCTGCAACTTCTGTACTCCAAACTTTCAGCATTGTTGCTGATTCGACCTTGTTGGGTAGGGTGACCAGACATCCTCTTTTACCAGGACATGTCCTCTTTTTTAGAGCCTGTCCGGCCTTGTCCGGGGGAGTTTATTAAATCCCTCAAATGTCCGCAGTTTTGTATGAAAGTTTCGAGTTTGTGTCACGTGGACTCTCAAAAACTCTCAAATTTACTACGCGCAACTCCATAGTCATATCCTCTTTTTGGGGGATTCAGATTTAGATTCAAATGGTCACCCTAATGTTGGGGACTTGAAATAGATTTTAAAATCATTCTTTTAAGTGTCTGACTGTCTTTCAGAAGAGCTGGTGTAATCAAGGACGAAATCCTGTTTTTATAGGATCTATTTTAGAGTTTTCTACGCAGAAAAAACTGAAGAACCTTTGGGGATATCACTCTGCTCAAGGCGTGAACGTGTTTCTGCGCCGTCGTCCTGAAAATAAAACAATTGTCGTTTGTGATCCTCTTGTTTTTAAGTGTCTGTCTGCCTGTGGACAAGAAAAGGCGGTCGCTCCCAGGAGGATCAAACTCTATCATAAAGCCTGTCCACAGACGACAAAAACGCATTACGGCGAGGAGGACGGGCTGTCGCCGACGCCGACCCTCGGGAGGCTCCGGAGACGGGATGATGGCGGGAAATCACAGAGAAGGTGGAGAAATGGACTCTCAGCTGTCTGCATGTGAGACGTGGAGGGGGTTACGTCATCCTCCTGTTTTAAGATGCGGTCATGTGACCCAGTCGTCTATACGCGATACAGAAATAAATCAACGGTTCAGAAATGAAGAGGAAGGTTTGAGAAACAGTCAGGAGCGAGTTTTAGCTGCACTGCATTAATGACTCACTCTCCTCCGCTGTGGTCCTCCTCGCTACACTCCCTCCATCCGGCGCCGTTGTTTTCGCCGTTGTAATGAAAACAAATGGTGATGTAGCCGTGCTGCAGGGGCTCTGCATGCAGCCTCATCCATCCCCATCTGAAGGAGATCTATTCGCCATCGCAGCCAGAGGACACAGAGCTCCAAAACCCCAATCCAGACCGGACTCAGGCTCCTGGATGTGTTTTACTTGGTCCCAAACTCCTCTCTCTCTCTCTCTCTCTCTCTCTCTCTCTCTCTCTCTCTCTCTCTCTCTCTCTCTCTCTCTCTCTCTCTCTCTCTCTCTCTCTCTCTCTCTCTCTCTCTCTCTCTCTCTCTCTCTCTCTCTCCTCACAAACTTTTGATGCATTTGCAAAAACAGAAAGTTGAGGATGATAGAAGAAGTTGCTTTAAGGAGAATCGCTGTTGTGCATCTCTAATACCAGAGGTTGCAACACTTTGTGCAACTCCAACCTTCGATTTCTCCCCTGAAGAGGTGAAAACAGTCATAGATCCTCAAACGCAGTGACACAGTGTCACAGATAAACACACTCACCTCTGAGGTTTGATGATTCCCAGATTGAAACGGAGAGACTGCAGGAGAAAATCGAGTTGAAGTCTCTAAAGAAACATTGTTGTCTTGGTTTACACAGGCACTGTAGGACAGGGTGCGAACACACATGATCCCATACTAATCTTTCCTCTGCTTTGTAAATGATTATTGTCATTTGAGCCGAAAATACACCTCCACCAAATATGATATTAATCTGATAACACTGGGATTCCACTGAATGCGGATCCGTTACGCTACGCTCTGGAACGGCAGGCGGATCAAAAACACAAGCATACAGCACCCAAAGGATACGATCCCCTGCCACAAGTGGAGGAGAAGCGATTGCGATATTACCGATATATCTTGCGAGACTGGACGAGATCTCCCAAGATTTTGTGCGTTTCATTGTGAGACTTGAGATCAGCGGTGTTTATAAACACCCACAACCCTGGCCCCTCCCATTATCACATTTCATTTCGTTTCGTTTATTTAGATAACCATTAGCTTTGGCTTCCTGTAGTCTACATTCACAGTTAGCTCGCCATCGCAGTGCACTGTCACAAAAAAACATCACGCCACAAACACAAAGAAAACGTCGATAACCACTACAACTCACAACAGCCGACAAGACAAAAATAAAACAACAAAAGTAGAACAATACAAACAACATACTCATATGACTGGACCTTATACGTTTCCAAAGTGTAGCTGTTAGTTCAGAAATAATCAGATGTTTAAATATCAACTTAAATTCCACATTATTGAATTGAATTAATTAATTTACCAAAACAGTAACCAATACAAGAACAGTTCGAAGTATAGACTTTAATTTATTTTGAAAATTGACCGCTCATGCTGCGGCGTCCAGCGAAAATGGAAGCCTTGCGTATCTGATCTGACCACCGGAGCGGATCAGCAGTGGAGCCGGACGGCGGACAGATTGTGTGGAATTGTGCACATTGATTATAATTTTTGCGTATTTAATCAGACTGCCGTTCCGGAGCGGAGAGGCGCCGTTCCGGATCCTGGGGAATTTAGCCGTAAGTCTAATGAGATATTTTCACGTTTTTGTAGCGTTGGATCATCTGGGGTGACTGACCCACAAAAAAAGTAACAAAGAAAAGACATCATAATGCACAGCTCGCAGGATAAAATGTTAGAATCAGACCCCGAACTAGAACCAGCATGTTCATATTTACCAAGGATTACTGCAGAGACGACATTATGCAGTTTTTTACTTTCCTCACATTAGAAATAGTTTTCTGATCACGTGTTATAACTCCTACCTGGATGTGGTATCATAGGAGATCTGCACACACACACACACACACACTCAACAGTGTTCATCTGACTCCATTACAGCCCGAGGAGAGGTAGAAATGGGCTCATTTGCTGCTTATACTCAGCGTTTTCTCCTGCTGGGCCCTTCAAATTACCAATCAGCTGAGTGATGTGGGTCGCCCATGCAAAACCAAACAAAACAGCCGGAAAAAATGGAGAAAAAGGAGCTACAGTGAGGCGGAGCTGAGAGATTCTGGACATGACAAAGTCTGGCTGCAGGGCGGAGATGTCTACCTGAATAACAAGAGTGACCTGAGCTGATAATACAGATGTTAATGTGAGTCTGAAGTGAGACGTTTACAGAGGTAGAGTGGTCATTACCCCTGTTTCCACCACATCCAGTGACAATTCCACCTTCATGTGAAAAGTGAAAGTTTACAGTTTCTTTCTCATGTTTTGCACTCGTTCATTTTCCCTCTCTGATCTCGTGGAGCTGAAACTTTCGTATGAAACTAAAACATGGATCCTTTTGTTTCCCTCAGAGTCAGAAAACAAAGAGAGGTGCGGCTGGAGTGTTGGTGGGAGGAGATCAGAGCAGACTGCAGGACTGCATCCGTCACTGTAAAAGCCTCTCTCTCTCTCTCTCTCTCTCTCTCTCTCTCTCTCTCTCTCTCTCTCTCTCTCTCTCTCTCATCAACAGCTGCAGCAGCAACCTGGCAGCTTTTCACAGCAGTGTGTGTGTTTGTATGTACCTTTGTAAGAGTGTGTGTGTGTGTATGTGTGTGTGTGTGTGTTTGTATGTACCTTTGTAAGAGTGTGTGTGTGGACGCCCTTCAAACGCTCTGGACTTGGCTGCATGAGTGAAAACACAGTAACAGAGAGAAGAGGGGAGGACGAGTGGAGGGAGAGCACCATCCCTCCCAATCCTCACCTTCTTCCTGTTCTCCATCATTACAGCACAGAGTCTCAGTTTTGGGTGGTAAAGGAGGATGCTGCCAAAAGAAACGCCAACACCCCCTCCAGCAAAGCCACCATCTTCGTTGTCGTTGTTTTCGTCTGCTTGTCCAGGTTTGGGTCATGGGGGGCAGCAGCTTCAGGGGGGGAAGCCCAGACGGCCCTCACCCCAGCCACTTCCACCAGCTCCTTTTTTGGGGGGATTCCCGAGAGTCTCACCTTACGGCTCAGCTCTTTCTTCACCACGACAGATCAGTTAAGCAACCGCATCACTCCTGACGCCGCTCCGATCCGCCTTTCGATCTCCCGCTCCATCCTACCCTCACTCGTGAACAAGATCCAGAGATACTTGAACTCCTCTACTTGAGGCAGGACCGCCCCTCCAACCTGGAGAAGGCAATCTACCTTTTTCCGACTGAGAGCCATGGCCTCGGACTTGGAGGTGTTGATTCACATCCCAGCCGCAGGTCAAGAAGTCCAAGTCCAAATCAAGTCCTTCTCCCCTTGACTGAGTCTTATGGGGTGCTCACACCAAGCACGAGTAAAATCCTTCAACGGTAACCCCTGCCGATTCAACCGGCGGGATCAAGTGATAGACACTTGATCCCCACTCCTCGCTCACTTGCCTCCAGGTGAGAACCTTTAAATTCCAGTTTCGGTAATTGAAAGAAAAGGTATCATATAATTCGGGGCACCCACAGACCGACACAATCAGTTTGTCCTCGATTTTAGATACCAGTGAACAACCGTCCGTTTCCATACATCACCTGGCATCCTTCGTACTGAGTGGTTATCATGACACGAATATCTGCTTAAGTTGAGACATTTTCAGCTCCCGCCCAATTCGCGTCATTCGCGCCGCCAGAGTAGTAGAAGCGTCTAATCACGTCTTTGCATTGAATTATCATGTAAATCATCCAAATGATTTCACTCGCGCTTGGTGTGTGGAGACAGTAAGTTCAGTCCTGATGACCAAGTCTGATTTACATCCTCCAAACCTGTGTCCAAGTTGGAGTCAAGTCCTTGTTTCCTAGTGAAATCCTATTTACCTTTTTACAAGTCCTAGTCAGGTCCCCGATACTTGTGTCAACGTTCAAGTCCTCATTGTTAAAGTTATCATTGATAGCAAACAGAGAGGCTCTTTCAGTCCAGACCCCCAAGTCTAGGTCTTAATTCTCTATGTCCAGATCCGAGTCAAGTCCTCATCAATCCTGGTCTTTTCAGGAAGGTTCTCGACTTAAAGTTTAAAAATACGGACCTCATTTTCTTTATTTGTTGGGGTTCGTTTTGGTAGTTTGGGGGAAAAAAAGGAAACTAATCTTTCAAACTTGTTGATTTGTTCCCAAAACTATGAAAAAAGAAACTCCTGTCTAAGACAACCCACTTATCCTTTGGCTAAAGCAGCGTGAGTTATGACTCCTCTGCCAAAGAGAGTTTCATTTTTCACCTCTATTAGCGTGTTTGTCTGCCTGCCAGCAGAACGTCTCCACACTCGATCAACGGCGTGACGTTTGATGGACAGATTTGGACAAAAGAGCGGCTCCTGCTACCGAACGAGAAGCTCGTCCAAGTAACGAGGATCGTTTTTCTCTCGCTCGAAAATGAAAATGAAGACTCGCTTCCAAATCCAGCGAGAGGTTTCCGTGTCGGGAAGGTCATTTTTGAGTGACAGCTGAGCGGCCTTTGGCTGGGACAGGATGTCAGTGATTTGTTCAGCAGTCGCAGTTTGAGTTCTGGGGTTATTTCCAGAAGTAAGAGCTTCATTTGTGGAGTCAGTGTCTCCGTTTCATGGATTTTATCCTCTCTCTCTCTCTCTTTAAGTATATAACAAACAGTCTTTCCAGGAAGGTCGATTTGTTTGTTTTCCTACTCTAAGTGCTTTTCCGTGAAGGTTGAGTCCACTAATTAAATCTTCTTTGTCTCAGTTATTCACCTTCATTTGCGTCTGATGCCTTTTTGATGGCGAGCTTTGGAGAAAATCCGTTTATTTCGCCATCAAAGCGACCTCACATTCCTCTGCATCCCACTGTTACTTCATATAACTTTTCACCCCGGCCGCTCTCTAATTTCAAAGCGAGCGTTTGGAGATGGGGGACGGCCCTCTCTCTCTCCGCTTCAGTCTGTCGTCATTGCCAAAGTCGAACACATCAATCACACATTTGTTTCCCATTTAACAGAGACGCTTTTAAGAAAGATGGAAATATCCTCTTGGCGGCGCGTCAGTGCGCTCTTCCTCTTTCATGCCGTCTTATTTCGCTGGTTTTGCCTTTCCGTAGCAGAGAGCTCCCACCACATCTGTAGTGTGGTCTGAGGGGGGAGTGTGTGTGTGTGTATGTGTGTATGTGTGTATATGTGTGTGTTCGTGTGTAAGAGAGAGTCAAACTTTGTGCTTTTCAGATA